GATAAGAGAAAACGCGAAGACATACTATGTTAAAATACCGTCATTAATACTCACAATTCGACGAGGTGGCGACCATAGCCTTTGGCAGTTCATTTTGCACGATTTTCGGCGTCAGGTTGGTCTTGCCGGCTTTCAGGGCTCCAAGGGCTGCCCTGGATAAAGCGTTCAACATGTTTAGATTGGAAGGCGGAACGGGTGTTTTAAGAATACAAGTTTAACGACGAGCCACAGCAAAATGTGTCGACAAGACGGTGCTCTGCTGTACGGAGACGACCGGACAAAATGGACGACCGATACGCCTATGCCTCCGCACGTTCCAAGCTCCAGTGCTGCCTCCATTCATGGCGATCAGCTGCGCACCATCAAACATGTGTTTTCCCGCTGTCCGCACACCAGTGGTAACACTGTCATGATGGTAGGCATTTGGTCGTTCTGAGCGGGAAATAATCCTGCCTGCGCGATTGAGCCGCACGGTGGACGTGTTCCTTGACGTTACCGTACCCACAGGTTCCAGTCTGCTCTTAGGTCAGGTTAGTTATATTTCAAACTATAGACTACCGAAATAAAATAATTACCATAACAGATTTATTCAATAATCTTCTCATATCATCAGATCCGTTAATATTGTACTGAAGAAAACCTCATAATCATAAGCCAAAAACACTTTTATCAGATGCAAAATTACTTTTGGCACGCAATTTTAAAAATTATGAAAGTCAAAATAATGAACAAGTTCACAATATAACGGTAACACTGAAAATAGTAGCAATAGTGAGTAGTGAAAGTTAAAATAAAAAATTGTTTCATGTCAACTTAGTTTTGTACATATTAAGTGAAAAGGTATTTAAATAGCATTAAAAATAACTTTTTGATAATTTTAAGTTGTTAAATATTTAAGTCTCATTATTTTATATTCTGGCCCACTGTGTAATGGTTCAAAATAACCAACAATTTATATTATAAACATTACTTGAAAATATTTAATAACTATAAATTGTTTTGTATTATAATGATTTTAATTTTTCAGTTTATAAAAAAAAAAAAATAGGTTTTGAATACCAATCATGTATAAAAATTGTACTGAAATTTATTTCGACTCCCCCACCAAATAAAGTCCTGGTTACGTGCCTAAGAACGGCTATCAAGTTTTTAAACCGTTCAGTTCACTAATTTGTTTAAGAACTTTATGTATTTTAAACGCTAAATTAAATTATAGAAATTGTTAGAAAAATAATAAGTAAATTATTAGAAAATTTTACCAGAAAAATATCAAGAATGTTTGTTTTTTTTTTAATATTTCACTAAAAAATATAAGCTTGTAAGTTCTTGAATTATGTAACTAATGAACCATTATACAGTTATACCATTGGTTAAATATAAATATATATTCCAAGTGATAGTAAAATACGTAAAACACCGATAGATCCCTTTACAGTTTTAACCAATTGGAAGGATTTTTTTCGAAACTATTATATATTATGTCTGCTGAAGGATATTTATATAACTATATGTGATAGTGTAAATTATTTTCCGTACATATAAACATTAAAACTGTTTTTCATACCTAATATAAAAAGTTCTCGAGTTTATTGTTATTCTTTTTCTTTTAAAACCAGGATAATTCCGTAAAATGTATACAAAAAATGCATTTTAGACGGCGCTTGTGTAGGCAATACAGGGGCATGTTATTAAAAATGAACATTATGCTGTTTCAATAATATTCTTATTGACGCACAATATACAATGATTATGTGTACAAATAATCGTGCTGGAAAGAAATATCAAAATCTATAGACACACCTGGTAATATTAACTAATTATTATTGAAACTTATAAAAATATATTGTTGAAACGGAAATGATGTTGAAGCAAAAATGTGAGTATAGTAATAGTACAGTATGTCTGCATCGAAATGGTACGAAACTGTGTCTGTCAATAGTTGTCTGACTAGTGTGAATTAACCATGTCTGATAAATAATAATTAATAAGTAGTAATTTATATTGTTATTGCTGATTAATGTTTAATTTATATTTGAATAAATCTGTAGATACTTAATAATCTTGTTGTAAACTAAAACTTATGAATGTAGTATCTAAATAATTAGTTTCTTTTTAAATTGTAATATGTTTACCTATTACAATAAAACTGATTTACCGTCATATCTGTTGTATTTAAAATCATATATATTATTTTTCATTACCAAATTTTATTTAAATAAAAATAAAAAATATTTTTACATTTACTTTTGAGTTTATTTATTTTTATTTATTAATTATAATCATAAGCGTGCACACGGGAGTGGCAGGGGACTAATACATGTCATATTAGGTAGGCTGTAGACTGATGGACGACGAAGTACGGTGCGTATCCCCGTTTTCTGAAAAGACAGGTCCAACTTTCGGCGTACCATTTTAAAAAATAATTTCTTGATCAGCTTCAACATTTATTGTTCTACAATCGAGTTCTGCATGACAATTACATCATATACCTTGTGCTTAAAGAGAGTATATTCTCTAATTAAACGAACTCCATCTAAAAATATGGAATAGCATTACTTGGCTTGGTTGAACAACGATTAAACTCTAGATGTTGTTTCATTATTTCCAAAAAATATTTTAACGGGGCTGACAGTATTATCTGCACAAACTTTAACGAGACGGACAAATTTCTAATTTAAAGAAATAACATCTCCAAGAGAAACGATAATATTGAGAGTAGATTCTGGAATATCATAAGCAATAATTTTGAGGCAACATCTTATGCGTTCAAAGGTTTCCTGGAGTACTTGACTAACAACCGATTATTACTATTATTATTTATGATTATTATTTTTGTGGTTGTACAGTAGAAACAGAAGACTCAAGGCAAGCAATTTTAACTTCTAAAACATATATTTTATTGTGAAGCTTGGCATTTTCATCCTTAATATCGGTCAATTAAACACAGAGGTTAGTCAATCCGATTTTAAGATTCTCATATTGAATCAGTTTATGATAGGAAATTATTGGTAGCCAAAATATCAGCCTCATAGGAATTGAGTGTGATCAACATTTATTACAAATGGACGAAGATACAATGCAACTAGATAATATTTTGATGCAGGGTCTATTCTAAGAATTTTTGTCAACAACGCATTAAATTCCCTCAACCCCTCTATCAAAAGTCACATTTATAACTTTACTCTTAACTAAGTACACTAAATATAATGATTTATATGAATAAACACTACGCTAGATTTTAGGTGCACTTTCAAACTAATACTGTACTTCAAATATGAATCCATTATACCAGTACAATAAATAAAAAGCCGACGATTTGTAAAATAATTATTGGTGGAATTACTGGAACTGAATCAAAACAAATCAAGGCTCGCATACCTATTATAATGTTACATTCATAGCACATATAAATAGTATATTATATACAATATACATAATACTAAATTAAACAAGTACAATTAAGGAAACAATTAAGGAACTACGTCTATGTTCGGCGTAGACAAGTACTGATAAGGTAATCGACTTCCGAAAAATAATCTTTAAATAATACATATAACTGGTAAAATAATACAACATGTAATATTAAAAATTTGAAAATCACTTCACTAAAATACGCGTAATTCCCACAAAAATTATGATATCAGTGGTTTTTCAAAAATATAATTTTCAAACCATTTTACCCAGGCCCGTAGCCATGGGTTACAGGTATAGTAACACCCCCCCCCCTTAACCTCATTAACATTATACTGAAGTCTAATAAAGGTAAAAATTGATCATAAACCATGATGCATATGTTTTGATGGCAGGTTTAATGGATGTGTTTAGGTGGCATATTGAAATTTAAGTAATTCAATTTATTAATTATTTAAAATTGGATTATTAAAAAAAAATATATTTATGATTATCAAATATTATTAATGTATATTTTAATTCTTATATTTTTGTAAAGCATATTTTCTTTCTTATTTGGTGTTTTTTTTGAAGCATTGCATATTTTTCAGAACTTAAAGTGCCTTATTATAAAAAATCACATAGGTCATAAATATTGTTAATTGAGTTAAAAATGCTTTAAAAATAAATAAATAAATCATATGTTTCCATTTTTAATTAGATAAAATATAGTTGTATGATAACATTTAATATTATTCAACATTTTTATAAATTTTCTTACATTTTAGATTTTTTTTTGTTTAAAAACTTCTCAGATTTTGGATAATATACACAATAAATACGATAATACCACTGATAATATAATAATATTATAAGATCAATGATAATATTCATATAACAGAACCAGAATTTTAATATCCCAGAGAATCATTAAAACCACATTAATAATAAAAATTACTAAGGCGTTAAAAAATGAATTAAAAAATTATTATAATGTTTGTATGGTACTATTGAAGGTAAAAATTATTATAATTTTTTTGTAAAATAATTTATTTTCATATCTATATTACTTTATTACACCTTTTAGGTAACATTTCAAGTATGGCTCAAATTTAAATATTATTTATTTAAATTTATTTATAATGATATTATTGGAATCAGGAAATTTATAATATATCTCCTGCTAACAATGCTATAGTTCGGAAATAATTTAAAATCATTGGATCTATAGATTGAATCTATTTTATATAATATAGATGCTTAAAAATATAATATTTTTTGGTAACAAAAATTATTCACAACTAATGAAATTAAATATAATATTAAACTTATTTTGTAATTTAAGAATATGGGACATCTATACAGTTTCATAAATCATACTGAACCTATTCAATATAAAATTATGTACAATAAAAACATAACTAATAACATAGGTAGGTACATACATTTTTAATTATTTATATAATATGTAAAATTAATTAAAACTACTCATAATTTACAACTGTTAACATTTTTTGTCTTGCTAATATGATCCTTTTATAAACATTTACGAGGAAATTAAAAAGTATTAATAAGTAAATATGAATCCTTTTTAAAACGATTTTTCAATAATATGTAAACAGCATTGATTTCTTTCAAAATATAAAAACAAAATTATTTTTACCATATCAATAACATTTATAATCGTGTTATCATTGTCTTAACACGTTCTTGGCGTTCAAAATGTTCCGTATCGATTTCAGTCTTACGCATACACTCTAAAGAAGATGAAGTAATCATTGGTTGATGTTTACAAATTGGGGGCCATCCAGGTGAAGAGTCTAGTTCAGCCTTTACTGAATGATATATATGTTCATTAGTGGAATCAAAAGACCCCAATTTTAATTTTTTCGTCAACAAATAATCAACAACAAAATATTCTATAGCCAGACATAAAATACAATCAAATATAGCTAATGCAACTACGATAATCGGGAACTCGATCATCGGAGGAAATTCTAATTGGAGTAATTCTTTCGTCCATTCTGCAGGGAACAAAGTTATGTACAAACAGGTAGCAGTCATAGTTAGTAAACTACAGAAAAAAATTGTATTTTTGTAAATAGGTCCTCGGTATGGTTTACCATATGAAAATATAAAAGCTAATATAATGTATTGAAATTGCGATACGGAATACACAGCATAATTTTCATAGCATTTATACTCTCTCGGGTGAGTATAATGAAATGGTTTAAACCAAGAAAATTGATGTACTAGATAGAAGGATAAAATCTGTGTTGATATCATTACAAACAGATTCGTAACCATCGAAAACAAAGGAATAAACGATAATAACCTCGTAAGAGGAGGCTTTTTAAATAATGATCCCTGAAAAGCTTCATTTCGTCCAAAAAAGAACATAAAATTTACCACTAAACCAATGTCAATAAACAGAAACTCGAAATCTGTTAAGTTACTGTCAATGTTGTATAAAATAAATGTTGAAGTGAACTCCAACAAACTATAGAGGACCATAAATTTAAAAATCCCAAATGACGTAACTAGAGCTGCTCTGCCTTCACGGATGATACGTGGCATACAAGAAATATCTGCTACGTGAGAAGTGAATGGCGAAGCTACAGACGATTCCGCTTCTGACAATGAAACGCCGACATGAGCCGCTCTTAACGCCCCGCAATCGTTTGCACCATCACCACACATGGCTGAAAATGCAATTTATTTGAATTGCAAAATTAAAGTAATACAAACAAAATAAATAAAGGTTATATTGTTATCTTACCAACATGGTAGCCAATATGTTGGAGTTCTTGTATTAACTGTTGTTTTTGTTCGGATGTCATTCTTGCAAATATAGCTCCTTTTACAAGTATCCTAGGAAGAAGATCTGGGAATTTATCTCTAATGATTGCCCATGTTCGGCCAGTCATTGCAAAACTATAATCTCCATTGACTCTGGCCTCTAATTCTAAATCGTTTTTATTGTAATCATAGCTTTCTATTATAGCTGTAGTAACTCTCTGTACAAACATATAATGTTACATTTTACTATGAAATAAATTATTTTAAACCGGCCATTAACTTTTTACCATTGGTGATGTAATTCCACTAGCTGTATAGTATATTTTTGGATGATGTTCTTGACTCTCATCAGCTGTAACATCAACCACTGTTTTCGAGGGCAAAACTATTCCACATTCTTTAGCTACACTGACAGCCGTTAAAATGTTATCACCTTAGATTTATAAATTCAAATAATTCATTTAGACATTTATTTCTAAATTTTAAATTAATAATTTACTCTACCAGTAACCATGATAATTTTCATATCTGCTCCTTGAAGTTCTTTTATAACAGGTGTAGTCTGATCTTTTAAACGATTTTCTAAAATAACTAATCCAGCAAAGTTTAAATCACACTCCACCTCTTCTCGTCTTAATTTTGGAATTTGAACAAAATTACAATCTTTAAGTACTTTATAAGCAAGAGCAATAACTCTATATCCTTCTTCGGTGTAACCACGCAATACATTATTAGTTTTACTTGGTACTGTGAAAAAAATAAAAAATTTTTATTAATTTATTTTTCAATGAATTTTATTAAATTTTGTATGCTCCCACCGGTGTTTGGAATACATAATGATTGTATCATTTCTGGTGATCCTTTGGTATACACAATAAAACGTGGATCACCGATTGTTTTTGTAATCATGCTCATTCTTTGAAGTGATGAAGAAAAATGAAATTGATGAATAAGACCAATTTCTATTTGTTTTTCGTCATCTGTGGTAGTCAAGTTTCGTACAATCGATGGTATTAAAACATCAAACTTTGAAGCATCGGATATTTCTAATTCTTCAAGGCCCCAAGCCGTGGACTCAAACATCTGTAATATATCCAATAATTAACTTAACACATATACGACTTAAGATATATATATTAAAATCTACCTACTTTTATGTCAAGGGGATCTCCAGAAACCGTTGAATTTAGTAATGTCAACGAATGACACGCTACCATACCCAATTTCAACGCATGATCATTGGGCAACGTTGTTACATCTCTAACGGGCAATCCAAGCTCGTGATTATTTTCAACTGGTACAACCCCCCACATATCTAAGCCATCTTCTGTCAAAGTTCCTGTCTACGTTTAAAAAATACTGTATTTATAATAACAATCAGTGTTTTTATAGAAAATGAACCTTACTTTGTCAAAACATATGCAATCTATTGAGCCACAAACATTAATAACTCTTGAGTTCATACAGGATAGTTGATGACTTTGAAGCCTACGCAATGCGTATAATCTACCAACAGTCATGGCAGCTGGAAGTGCTGGCGGAATTACAATTGTGAACAGATCTAAGGACTTGACTAAAATATCAAATACGGTTAATCCTCTAGACGCCTAAACATAAAAGATAATAACTTAAGTATAAAAAACCATTAACGTGTGTTTGATTTTATAATTACTTTTGTCACTGCTGTATAAATTGAACCAGAAATTGCAACAATTGCTAAAATCCAAATAAAACGATATGTGTCTTTATCGAACCTGAAATCAGCGGGGGGTGGATATAATATTGATCTCACTAATGACCCTTTAGCGGTTAAATATCCCGTTCTTAAAACTACTCCGTGAACATGTCGATCAGAAAAATATCGTGCTTGAAGAATTTTAGTTCCAGAAAACAATGTATGATTAGCGTCTTCCTGTTCGTTGTATAAGAGATTTATATTAGGCAGTGCAGTCTTTAGCACAGGCACACTTTCACCTTCAATAAAAATTAAAAATAAATTGAATATTTAATATTGATTACTTTATCGAATTAGAAACGTGATTTTTTTTAAAAAAAATATAATTATTCCAATAACCTGTAAGCATGCTTTCATTAACAACACAATTTCCACACAGTAAAGCTATATCGCATGGTACTTCAAATCCATATCTTGGTATGACAATTATATCACCCGGTACCAAATCTAGTGTGGGTATATCTTCGTAGATGGCTTCAGAGTTTGGTCCTCCCATTTTTCGGCATACAGTCACTTTATCTAATGAACGCACTGTCTCTAATAAAGTCTTTTGATTCTAAAATAAACCCATGAACGTAAATTATAATTTTCATAATTAAATATTGAAAAATTTCAATAAAAATACAGATATATTTTCAGCTATAAATTATCGAACAAATAATATTTAAAATTAATTGTCATTAGCCTTCTAATATATTTTACATTATAATCAACTACAATAAAATTAACATTTAATTTGTAATATTATAGCACTTATTGATAAGGCTGATAAGAGTAATAATATTACAAAATTAATGGTTAATAAATAATATAAATAATGGATTAAACTATTATAAAATGTTGTATATTTATTTCTTTACATCAAGCGTTACTACTTTGAATTTATTAACACGTCCTATATTACAATGTAATATATAAATTATATTAATTATGTATAAACTGTGGACCCCCCCCCCCCCAAAAAAAATTGAAATACGCCACTGAGCCAACTATATAACTGTATTCTTTTAATAATTTTTAAATTAATGGTTACCAGACGAGTTTGTATAACTGACGACGTTATTCCAAAAACTGACATGATAACTATTGCTCCCAAATAATACACATAACCTTCAGCAAACCATACTACAAGAGAAAAAGCTTGGAAAATGTATAAAGGGTTAAGAACTTCAAGCCATATTAGAGTGAATATACTTTGAGTGGGTACATTGATTTTATTTTCTCCATATATACACTTTCTGCAATTACATAAATTTCAAAAGAAAAAAAAAAATTAACTGTAAACAATTCATCATTGGTAAATCATAAAAATTTAATATATTACCTAACAAATTGTTCTTGTACAGAATAACCTTTAAATGTATGAAGTTGCGCTGTAGTCATACCTCTATCTAAGCCAACGAGTTTTTGAAATTTCCTTTGATTATCGCACCAAACATAGCAAATTTTTTTTATTTCTATTGCTCTGATTTGACTTACATCTAATACAATACAATTTTTTATTAATATATATTTATATATTTAAATTTTATTATTTCATAAAATATATCCAAATGAAAAAACCTTGAAATGATCCATCATTCAAATTTATCCTTATAGATTTTACTTCTAATGATTTGCGAAGTTCTTCAATTGTAAAATCACTCATGTTCTTCATTTTTTCTGTTTTGGATAGTTCGTCACTACTAAAAAATATAATATTATATTAATGATTTTATTATAAATATTAAGTTAGACTATCTATTAATTGTTATCAAACAATTTGATTAACTTTTTAATTTACCTACCATATTTTTTTAATTGACACTTTTTTTATTGGTCTTACAAAATATGACTTATACATCCCTTGGTAACTGTCCTAAATAATGGCAAAATAATAATTTTTCGTATTTTTCTATAATATGGAAAACTTACAACAATGAGAACACGTTCTGCTTCGTTTAGGGGACATCTTTTGAACATAGCATACAAAACCCAATGAGGCCACCAATGAAATAATAAACGTACGAATCCTAACGTCAAAACGATTAGAATCCATGTTATTATCGTCATTAGTCCACTTCGTTTGTATCCATAAATTTCCTAGAATGTATACATATTTGAATATAGGTTAATTTTATAAATTACAATGTTATTTATAAAAACAGAATAAGAAAGGAGAAGAATCCTATGACACGATGGTTAAACAAAATTAGAAGTGATAAGAAGGCTACTGGTGTTTATACGTGAGAAGAATACACAGACAAAGGTAATTAACTAAGTATAACCGACTCTAAATAGTTGATAGGGAAACAAATAAGAATAATTATAAGAAAGTTATTCAATATTTAGTTTTTAACTATGGAAGGTGAGATGCAAATAATACAATTGTATAACATCCTTCTGATTCAAGCTAAACCATGTATACAATATTCTACATCAGTGATTCTCATCCTTTTCTCGCTCATGTCTCTTTTAGCCACTAGAATAAAATATCGCCTTACCCTAACATCAAAATAATAAATAATCTTAACTGTGTATTTTAGAATAATTCTTGAAATAACAAAAAAAAATAAAAATACTGCACACAGAAAAATAAAAGTACACTTACAATGTATTTGAGATGCAGGGTTCAATAAAAATTGACGGTTGAAAGTTTTAATTTGCAAATTAAAAAAAAAAAAAATAATAATAATAATAATAATAATGATTTATATGAAAACTGATGATATATTAGGTCCTGGTTGTTTTTACAAAGTTGAGGAAGTCCAGGGCTGATAGTGAAAAGACCGCGTTTCATATTGTCTTCTATAGTTGTAAAGCTATAACATTACATATCTAGCAACTTCAAAATAACTGACCACCGACACCGGATAAATCAATAAGATAATCGATAATGCACTGATTTTACAAATGAAAATACTGCACGTATTTATCGGACTTAAATAATATAAAAATACAAACTTAATGGTATGCTATGCTATGTACATGACAGTTGTGGCAATAATATAATTTTATTAAAATTAATTATATTCTTATTTTTATTATTTTCCCTTGGAGATTTTGTGTCACACATACACTGCGTCTATGTCACCCCGGTCGAGAACCACTGTTCTACATAATACATTTATTATAGTATATAGAAGTAGCATTTTCTTAAAAATGACTTCTGTTACGTCCTTTAAAGCAAAATAAAAATATATGATCATAATATTTCAAGTATATATTATACGATTGGCTACCGAAATTTCCATTTTGTATGTAAATTCCTTTTTATAACTATCCGTTCCATCATTCCATCAACATTTTGGAACATTAAATATGCCATTTTTTAACGTTTAGTCGTTTATTTATTAATAAATTGTTAATACAGTGGGAAACATACGGATGGACCTGTTATAGAATAAAATTAAAATACTATAGTACCTTAATGTTGATTGCTAAGACATTTTACATTTTTAACAAATTTCTGTATGAAGCTAATAGCTTTCTATTGATGAATCATTCGCTATAAAAAAGGTCCATTCATTCAAGTATTATGATTAATGCACATAAACGTCAATAAGGAATGAGTTCAAAATAATCTAAATTATATATTAATTTTAACATTGCATATAAAAATAACAAATATAGCCAAAAACTTATATATAGATCGATGAATATTTATAACTAGAATGTAGTTTAAATATATAACATTTATACTTTAATTAACTATTTATTATATGATTAATACATTTTCTTATAAATAAAAATAAGAAAATATTTTATTTTTTTTATTATTATCTATAAAGGTTAAAAAAAAACCTACGGGGTATTTTAAATAGTACCTCAGGTTTGGCGAACTCCAGGTCCCTGAGCCATAAACTGACCTTAATTGGTCGGTTTAGCGTGATTTATCAGGTTGAGCATTGGACTAACACCCCAGCCTCATAAAAAATATACTGTGTTGTGAATCTTACAACCAAGCCTCGGGACAGTTATAATGGAAAAACACATGGAAAACGGAACAAGGACAGAAAAGAATTAAGGATTGGAACATGGAATATACGAACTCTTTTTAAGCTAGACGCTCTGAAGACAGTAATCGATAAGATCAAAAGATATAAGTTGCCAATTGTAGCATTACAAGAAGTAAGATGGCCTAGGAGCGGTAACATTAGGTCAGGGAACCACACTATTTTCTATAGTGGCTCATAAGATGGAAAATACGAATACGGAGTAGGATTATTAATTGATAACTCAATGATAACAAATATGAAAGAGTTCACTGCTATAAATGATCGGTTGTGCTATATATGCATAAAAGGACAAATTTGGGACATCATATTAATGAATTGTTACGCCCCAACGGAGGATAAAAATAATGACATAAAAAGTGCTTACTATGAAGAACTAGAAAATATTTATGACACTTTACCTAGGAATACTGTAAAAATAATTATTGAAGATTTCAACGCAGAAATTGGTCGAGAACCTGTGTACAAACCAACTATTGGATGAGAAAGTTTACACGAAGTATCCAACGACAATGGAGTACGAATCATAAACTTTGCTACATCAAAGGATCTGATAATAAGCAGTACCTACGTACTTTCCAAGGAAGGATATACATAAACATACGTGGACATCACCAAATTCAAGAACTAAAAGCTAAATTGACCATGTCACATGATAAATAAAAAACACAAATTCTGCGTAAACAATGTATGAAGCTACAGAGGAGCAGATGGAGATACTGATCACTACCTGGTAGTTATGGATTTTCGTACAAAATTATCAGTGAACTAACTGGAGATTAAAACAGGATAATAAAATCACTAAAACAGTACGCCTCAATGTAGAAAAAGCAAAGGACCGAAAAGAACAACAAATGTATCAATCGAAAATAGCCAATAATTTTAGGGAAAATAAAGCTACAATGGATGACATAGAGGCAAACCGGACAAAGATAAAAGATACAGTGTCAGAAGCGTCAAAAACCCTAAAGGAGAACGATCGAAAATACCGAAACCATTTGTTTGACAAAACATGTCAAGAGGTTATCAAGAACCGTAAAGAATACAGAGTACAAATGCTGTAGGATGCTACACAATAAAACATACAAATATATAGAGAAGCAAGAAAAATAGCAAACAGCACAATAATAAGACGACGAAAAAAGATTAATAGAAAAAAGAGTGGTAGATAACATCGAAAAGTATAAAAATAATCCCAGACTTTTTTCAAACAAATAAAATCCATAAAGGAAGGTTATAAAGCGCAAAACTGCATCATAACTGATCATGACGGCAAATTAATAACGGAAACACAGTATGTTCTACATTTATTCCAGGAATATTTCAAACGAATACTAAATGACAAGTACATAGTAGAAACTAATGATAAATACCAACAAACAACATATAACACGGTAGATCCAGAGTTCAATGAACCTGATCAGAATGAAATTCAAGACATAATTAAATTAATTAAAAAAAAAGCAAATCACCAGGGGAGAACAACTTAAATTCAGAATTGCTCAAATTAGCAGGAGTACTTCTAGTAGCATAAATACAACAACTAATCGGAATTATATGGAATAATGAGAGCATTCCTAAAGACTGGAACTTGGCGATTATCTGCCTAATATTCAAGAAGGGTAATCCAGCAAAGGTAGAAAACTACCGATGTATCGCCTTATTAGACACATGCTACAAAGTGTTATCCTAGGCAATCCTAAGAAGGTTAAAAGTATACGCCACTGATATCATTGGTGAATATCAATGTGGCTTTAAGAAAGGGAAATCGACTACAGACCATATCTTCACCATACGTAAAATCATGGAGATGTATTATGAATATGATCAAAATTTATACATGCTTTTTATGAACTTTGAGCAGGCCTACGATAGTGTGAACAGGCAACAACTGTGGACAGCCCTGAGAAATTTTGGAACTCCTGAAAAATTAGTAAGGATGATTGAGATTTGTAACTTGAATATGTATATTGCAAAGTTCGTTATCTAAGAGAACTATCTGATCAGCTTAAGACGAAGACCTGGTTAAAACAAAGGGATGGTCTATCCCCTATTCTATATAACCTCGCATTAAAAAAAATTGTTAGATACCAAAAACAAAATAATATCTATCACAAAAAGTTTAATTAATTCTAGTAAAAAGATGGGTCTCAGTATAAATGAAGACAAAACCAAATACCTAATAATGCCCAGAAAAGTGGTAAACAAATCTAACTTAAAAGTGGGACCATTGTTTAGAGCAGGTGGATAATTTTAAGTACATGGGAGCTAATATCAATGAGACTAATAATATGCATAATGAGATACAAGTAAAGAAAAATGTGGCAAACCGAGCATACTTTGCCATCAACAACATTTTAAGCTCCAGAATGCTATCAAAAACCACAAAGAAAAAACTTTACACATGTTACTTATGCCCAATAGCAATGTATGTATATGAAACTTAGTCCACTATGCAAGGCAATGAAGAAAAACTACAAACATTTGAGAGGAAAGTTTTATGGAAGATATATGGATCCAAACGAAATTTAAACTGAGAATATGAAAGAAGGAAAAACGTGGACATATAAAAAATGTACAACAAACCAAATATTGGAAAAAATCTCAAGATAAAACGCCTGGAGTGGTCTGATCACGTTTGACGAGCTGACGGAATTGAAACCTTATTCGTAATGTTTTAACTAAGAAAATCAACAAAAAACGACCAAGAGGGAGATGCCGTCAATGATGGATAGATAGAATAGTTAAAAACATTAAAGAAATAGATGAGGGGATAACGATATAAATGGCAAAAGATTGTGAAAGATGGAAAGATTAGGTAGAAGCATGCAAAAGGCCTGTTGAGAACAAAATAAAAAAAAATAAAGGTTGAATAATTTAAAATTAGAGTCATATAAATAATAAAGCACCATGAATTATTTTATATTTATATATTACATTTATTGAAGATTAGGTATTAAAGTTCATTCTTATTTTAAATGAGATGTATCAAAAATGTTAAGCTGCGAAGACATTCAAATTATTGTCTTTTTCCATTTTTATAAAATTATTAATTTTGAAATCTGGTAATTTTTGAAATATTGAATTATTTTTTATTATTATTATTATTATTACTATTATTTTTATTATACTATTATTATTATTTTATAGAATTGTACATTGATATAATATATTTTATTATTTGAATATTATATATAATATTGTGTACATACCAATTAATTAATTAAATAATTGGACGAAATATGTAATAAGAAACCATAAAAACTAGATAACAAATAAAGAAAATCATAAAGATATCGGAACTAACCCTTTCATTTATTTTGCCCCCTCTACTTTCTTCTCCAGATAAAATCTTTAAGAATCCCACCGTAAAAAATAAAATAAAGTATAACTACTAATTATTATATTATACAGTGTCTTTCTTTCAATTTCTAAAATAAATATGCATAAATAGTTTTCAACTGTTAAGATTATGATTAAATAAATATTTCCTTTTGACTTACCATTTCATCATCTTCCTCTGCATTGAGTAAAGCATAGTCTCTAACTATTGGTTCTTTCTTCGAATTAGTATTGAATCCGTTATGTTTAAAAACTGCCCCTGTACCTGCTGAGTGTTAAAAATATGCCGTTATACATTTTTTCATTTCATTTACCTGATTATAGTTTCTAGTTAAATAGATTTACCAGTAGGGCAGTTTTCATTTGATGCCATAGTCAGGAAATTTTAAAATTCCTAACGATCGTAATAGTCTGCGATTGTTAACCGTCGAACGTACAGGCATTCACGAGCCGTTCAGAAACCGCCTGAATTTGGTCTACTTGTGAGACCGCTATAATATTTTAAAATATTTTATAAACAACTTTATTAACAATTGCATTATAGACTTCATAAGTGTAATAAAAAAAGTTCATCTATTTTGTACATAAAAAACAATTTTTGTTAAAGTTTTGATATTCGTACACAATCTACACATCACATAAATGTTATTTGGGTAAATATTTCTCATAAGTAATATAATTTTTTTTTTTCAAAAATGTAAAATAAACAGAAAATTATTTTTAAGAATAAGCTCTCAAATAATTAGTTACGATAATAATTAGTATTACGATATACTATTATTTTTAAACAAATTTTTTAATAAGCTACAAACACATTTATAAACATTTTTAAATAAAGTATAAACTTATTAAAAATTCCAAAATAACATATTTCATGAAGTTAATTTTTCAATAATTCGATACCTTCGTTTTCTCTTTACTTGTCTGAATCAAATTTACCTACCAATACTAATGAATATACGAGTAATACAAAGAAATATTATTGAACACTAAAACGAGTATTTTCTTTGTGCACAATATTTTATTTTATTGATTACTAAATATATACCTACTCGAGAAATCATTACTATGAATTTTTAACTTGACTAAGATTCCTAATCATTTTGTTCACGTGAAACACTTGTATCATAGATGCGCATTATATTCATATGTAAAATACCATACAAACTATACATATAATTATATTAAATAAAGATAACCCATTAGTTGACATAATATTTATTTTTATAATTAACATTATTTATTTTATTATTTCATGTAGATTTAAATAGTGTACTTAATTTTTCATAAAAATGTATAACTTATATTATGTAAGTACATAGTTATCTTAGTTGTCGATCTAGAATATTATAATTAACTTATTTAATCTAAATTATGGTAAACTGGTGAAATGTAAAAGCATATTTTTCAACAGCATTTTTAATTTATTTTTTAGTAGGTATAGTTGCAATTTAAAATTGAAAGTAAAGAATATTTTCGTTTATTTTTATTTTTACATTAATAATTCTCTAAATGATTTTATCAACTACCAATTATCAGTTCTTAACTAAAAATCTTAATATTCAATTGGCTCTGAACTAAAGTGTTTAATTTTTTTAAATGTTCTCTACGTTCACTGCATAAAACTATATTTAAGAGTTAATTCGAGAATGATTTAAATTTATTAGTTTACACTTAATAAAAGTAATATAGTAAAAAATATTGTCAATTTTATACAGTTCTTTTCATAGTATATTTAAACTATCACGTTTTGAAGTGATGGATTGAAAATGATTCTAAAACTAATATTTTAATTTAAAATAAATTAATCATAAGTATTTAATTAAGAAATAATGATAAAAACAAAATAACTGAAATATTTACTCACGCTTAAATTAGGAGTACAAAATATCCTAACTTTATGTTTGAATACTCTACTATAAACGACACTAGGCGGATACTGATCGCAACGTTCTGAGGGTCAGTAGTTTGATATCTTGGTTTGTGGTTCAGTTCAATAAAATTTGCATGCTATTGTACATCTATACTAGGCTTATGCGTACATGCTCAATGAGTAGTAATTAAAACTATTAACAGACTTCAGTGGTTTGTTTTCTCATTAAGTCAGTCGAATCAAGGGCAAACTTGAAAAGTTAATTTCTATTTACCTTAGAGTGTGGTTCTGTTTTACAAAAATTGCTCTGAATTTTAGAAAAAAGCTAAATGTTATTAATTTATAAAAAAAAAGTTATTACTGAAAATTACGATTTTTCTTAAATTAATCTAATAATGATGCTATATGCTTTTAAATACATAAATACTCATAATTATGCAATTCAACTTAAAATATTTTAAGTTATCTTTTTCAATTATAAAAAAAAGCAATCACACAGTATAGTTAATTAGGACATTAGTATGAATTATATTAAAAGTATATTTCAGAGACCAGAACCGGAACCGAAATAAATTGCTTCAGGGACCGGTCAACATTTAAAAATTTAGGCACCGGAACCATAATTAAAAAAACGGTTAATTTTGATTAGTAGTAATATCTTGTTAGTCGGTTCAAAAAAATAAAAGTATTGAATTAATGTTTTTACTTTCGTGTATCGTAAATTGTAATTTTTAATGCATGTATAATTTATTTTCGACTTTGGCCAACTAAGTCACTCACCGTACGTGTAATTAGGGAAATATTAATAATAATTAATAATTACATTGCAGGTAGAAATATTTAATAATATTATGAACATAGATAATCTGTAATACGAATAAACTGTGATACGGACATAATATTATTCAACATTATAAAAACTAAAACTATAAAGTAAATTTATCGGTGAATATTATAAGTGTCAAATTATTGTTTAGTTTTAATTTTTACAATATGGACCGACCCACTATAAGTTTCATAAAAAAATATTATTAATATTAATATAATAAAGTCAATAATAAATCAAAATATAAAATATATTCTATAAAACTAAAAATAAATACCTATATTTACCTATCTACTAAAGTACTTCTTGAAATACCTAGCTAGATATAATCAGATAGTAAAAGAATGTTACTTATGTTCCTACGTTCTTCTTCAAAAATATAATCTCTTCTATAGTTCTATAAAATACAAGTTTTTATGGAATAGATATTATTGTACTAACCAAATAATAAAATCAAATATTAAATAGTTTTTTTTAATATTTTTAAAACTAAATCAAAAAATTAAATACGTATGGTTTTCATAGGTACCTTTATTTGTAATCAGTTTTCTGACATTCATTTTGTACCTATCTAAATAATTATAACATTTTTAATAAAAAATTTTAATTTTATGATAAAAAACTTGTTAAATTTACGATTATCAAATGTATACCTCATGATTCCAATATTGTTCTAAATGTTAAAAAAGCTAAATTTCAATAAGCACACATAAGCGTACAATATAAAATATTTAATCAATAATCTCCTATTTGTCATTTGTCTTTATTATAAATATAAATCATAAGATTAGTGTTTTATAGTTACATTTGATAACCAATGAGCTTAGTTAAAAGTTAAAAAGTAATCATAAATCGTAATAAGTCAGAAATATAATTAATTTTCATAATTTTATTGAGATTAAAAATAGATTAAATATGTATTTTATTATTATGATAACTTTTTTTTTTAAGTTTATTAATATACTACAATAAATATATTATCTATTAAATATTAAGTATTAAGTTCAATAAATAATAATATGAATTCAAAATTGTACGATACGTAAATATTTTAAATTCTGAACGCATTGAGTAAAGATGTACTTTTTTCTCGCTAAACATTGTCGATTAGTAAAAACGCTACAAAATATCCATCTACCAATATACCAATATCAACCAGTAGTGTTCCCGTTTAATGTAAAACAAATACATTAATACTTTACACAGAATATAAAAATGTTAACATTACATTTAAATTTAACTTTTGTAAATAAATTTTATTTTTATGTTTTAGAATAGAGTATTACGAGTAATTAGTAAATATAATCAAGAACTCGTGGCTTAGTAAACTCTCAAAGAAATTGATGAAAACATTGTTACCAATAACATTAATTTATTATTAATTATTATTAATTATTAATTTTTTTCTAATAACCGGTATTTTTCAGAGCTAGTATTAATCGGTCCTAGAACCCTTAATTTTATTAAAAAATTAGAACCGGGAACCCTTATAAAAGTTAATTTTTTTACCTACACCGGAACCGAAAACACAAAAGATTTCAGTCCTTGGTATATTTGATTGAGTATTGCATAATAAACATTTATACCTGTGATTTCCAACGTGAACACTATCACCCCTTTGTGGACATATTTAATTTTGAGAAGCATTTTACTTAATGGGCACTAACGAGAGCCAGTTCTTCTTTTGGAATTATTTTATACAAGTAAAGTTAAATTGAAATATTTTACATTTTTAGTAGATATTTTCATTTATAAGCAAAAATTGTTTAAAGTGTTAAATTATGTTTTTAGTTTTTTTTTCAAGTATAAAATTATTGATTATAAAAACCAAACCATCAATCATCAAACATCATAGCCGGTAGATTACAGAAAAATTGCACTGGCTTTAAATCGAATAACATATTATGTTCATATTACATCAAATTTATCGTTTAGAGATCATAATTCAATGTATGTGCAGAAAAATGTCCTGTGCTCAAAGTTGTATTTAAAGAAAATATTTGTCCACCTGAACCATATATAACGGAATTTCATACATTAACGCCAACATTATAATTGAATATATATGTGTGTGTCATGTATTAATTGCAAACATAACTCTATACGATCTCACCACATGATATTAGTAAAATAAGTGGTTTTGAAAAACTTGTTTTTACACAAGATATAGTTTTAATAAGTAAGACTATTGAAAAATACCTATATTGAGAGTTAAATAATTCATCAAAACAAAATCGAAACGTATATAATATTCTTTAGATATTTACTTTTTATCATGAAAATCTGAATAAAAAATGTGAAAATGTAGAGATGACATATGTCAAAATAAAACTATAACAACATTCAAGTGATTAGGCTAAAATTATAAATTGTTTATAATATCATTATCATCACTTAATTATGTTTACTAATACTAAATTATACTCTTAGTATAATAACAACATTTCATTCAACGTCTAATAAATAAAACCACCTATATATACATAGTCGACCGTATTTTAGAGAAAATTAGATATTTAATTAGATCCTTTATATTTATTTTTTATTTTTATTCACATTTGCAATAGTAAATTAATTGTTACTAACAATTAATTAATACAAATTTACTTCGAGTGTAGTTTTTTCATCGTGTTATGCATTTCATAACTCGTGTCATTTAGGAAAAAGTTAAACAGGCAGTTATTAATTATCATCAATTAACCACGGTCATGACCCTTGTAAAACTAGATGGTAAATTTTGCATCCAAACTGCAATTAAACAATTGGTAATATATTTAAATTATGTTTTTAATCCAGAACGTGTCTATAACGGTTGTCAATAGTACTGTACAAACGGAGACAAAAACAAACATCGGATTCGTCACTTTCATCCAAGATTTCACCAGAAATAGGTTATCGAAGTAAGTAAATTTAATATTATGTACCTAAATTTAAAATAATTAGCAACATACAAGGCGATAAATCTATATTATACGATTTTCGTTATCCTCGACGTTCAGGCAAACGTTCTACACAGCCAAACGCTTTGCGATCAATTCAAATTAATTAAAGTCAAAACAACGTACCTAAAATACGATTATTTACGATTTAGTCATCATTGCCAATTTGTGTAGATATCGTACGAAACGCATGTGAATCACGAAAAACAATTTAACAATTACGGCAAATGCACTATTTACGCGAGTACTGTTACAAAGAAGAATAAAAAACGAATATTATTAAAATTTCACCAAAGAAAAATATTAAATAAGCGATTTACACGTTTGGTGAAATCATTGATGTTGATTATATGCACACTATATGTAACCTTCATCGTAGTATATATATATATATATATATATATATATATATAACATACTTTACACGACTATATACAGTCTCTACTAGTAGAAGAAAAAATTCCAGTTATAAGACCTCCTACCGATGAAAAAAAAAAAACTAGTCGGATGTATAAAACGTATCGAATTAACAATTAAATAGCAATCCACTTAGTATCAGCGTTACGTTATCAGTAAATTATATACTTCGCTGGTAATCGGGTGTAGGTGCGTCACCGTATATCATCATGCATAATGTATTTTGTAAGCCGTTCGTATTGCGACGTTTATAAAAAGGAACACCAGTTCGTTCGGTGATTTAATTATTCTATTTATTTTTTATTATTTTATTATTCGAAATCGTGTTTAAGGTTAATTACTGCTATACATTCATACTGCGCTTGTGCGTAGATATTTCGCACGATCTGGTATTTCTAAAAGTTCAATCGCAACCATTTAGACCACGGTGAACAGCGTTTGCAATCATTCGTTACATTTAGAACGTTTACAGTAGTTTTTATGAACTCGAATTTCATAACAGATACTACTACTGTTATTACTACTTGACTGGTATTACTATATGAACGTAAAATATTCAAATCGTTTTCAGTGGAATCCAATCCAGCCAATAGCGACACCTACGCGGCAAATGTGGTAATATTGACTTGCATTTTTTACACGTCTGTCATTTTCATCGTATCGATGACGATCAAACTGTTACTAAGGATGTGCCAAGAAAGACTGACGTTTGTCTGTGACTTGGACGACGTCAAGTATCATATTACATCGTTTTTCATGGAAACCGTTGAAATAACCGAACAGTATTGTTATACGATGAACGTCGCGATAGGTACATATGCAACAATAGTTGTGAAACGTTTTATTATATCCGTGAACAATAATAATTATTAGGGAACAAGTCTTATAGCTAACATGTGCGCAAGCAAAACGTTCGAAGACGTAATAATTCGTTAAAAACGTTAGTAAACCATTGGTATTCACGTTTCATCTCGTTTTAACTACATAATATTTAAATACCACTAACTGATCGCTGCATCCCGAAAACGACAAAATTGAAATTCGAAATTCTTGTTCCTCTAATACTCAAAATATTTGCAATAAGAAGAGATAAAAAAAAATTGTTTAAGATGATCAATTTTATGGATTTTACCGCCAATTCGTATTCGGTGCGGCAAATGTGTAACCAAAATTAGTACCATAAAGATTAAAACTATTTAAACATGGCTAGACTTTAAATAATGTAATGTAGTATTGTCAGTAATAATCAGTTAAAAACTATTGCCCATGCCAACACTGTCCCATACGAAGTGGGTAATTCAACTAGTATAGTAAATGTAGATAGTAAGTTATACCATTGATTTGATAAAATTATTGTACTATTATTATTAAATAATTTAAATTTGATAATAGGTACGATTAATGTTGGTTCGATTAAAATTAATCGTATTAGATATACGTCAAATATCTACGCAAATAATTTATTTTGTGTAACCGTGAAATTTCCATTGTAAACCGTTTTTATTTTATGCATTCATTTTATATTATTATTTCGTTATAATTTTTTAATAATATTTCTGTTTGACGAAGTTTTCGAACTTATAGCAAAATGAAGTTTTGGAAACAACAAGCTGCTTTTGATACTAATTATTTGTCATGGATTTTAGCGTACCAAAATATACTAAATTATTTATTTAATTCTTTAAAGATATATATTTCATACAAAAAACCAGTTTAAAAATCAAGTGAAAAAATCGAATTTTTTTTTTTCAACGAAATATTTATTTAATTAATTTTTTTCTAAAAACTGTCTAAGTTGTAATTTACAATTTACCTACGCATATAGTTCTTTATCACCTCCAAAATGAACTGTTTAGACCAGCGGTCGCCAACCGGTGGTCAGCGAGAAAATGTAGGTGGTCCGCAGAAAAATTTAAACGTTTTTTGCAATATTATTTTACTAACCTACCAGCGAACGCGTGTCGTTTAATCACTGTGTGACAAAGTATAATTGTATTATGTTGCTGTACAGCTTCTGTGTAGTAAACGGCAAATAAGAATAAATACTTCATAATGCAATCGTCGTTATCGTGGTTTATAAAACTATAAAATATTACGAGACCTTATACTCAGCGACTATAAATATATATATATATATATTATTGCCGAATGGCCAAATTAATCAGATTATAATCGTTATCGAGCTTGGAAATATTAGTACTCCTTGAAAATGTTCATTTTCATTAATTTTCATTTTAACTTTTTTAAATTCTGAGCGGAGCGAGGAATGTAATGGTTTTACAATGATGTTTATTTCTTTTTCTTTTTTATTCTGTTAACACTTCTCCCTCTAAACTTGTTCAAAAGTATCAAATGTAGCATATTTTCTGAAAGGTAATGTTCTTGAGCTGGTACTTTAAAGAGGTAATTTTTCTATTTTCGAAATGGTACTCAAAATAAAAGTGGTTAAAGGAGAAAAAACGTACGATTTCACGATTTTATAATATTAAATAATTACGGACGACGTTTTCTACTAGAAATATTGCTTCAAATGAAAAAGAGATCATTTTTGTTTTATTTTGGATTTTGTTCTTTATGGTTTAAAGTTCAGAAAATTTTAGCCATTTTTGAGCTATTTATAGACATTTTAATTTTGAGAGTTTTTTGTTGTAATTCGGTTAAAAACATTCGTAAAAACTTGAAATTTGGGTTATTTACTTATATCATCCTTACCTATACATGGTAAAATTTTCAAAACATTTAAGCGATTTTTGAGCTTTTTCTTTTATTTTATATTTTTTTTCATTTTTATTATATTTCCTAATTATAAATTATAATTATAATTATATAAATAACCTATTTATACAAATCATTCTTAAGCTGTTCTTAAAATGTTTTGTTTATCACTATAGAAACGAATAAAATTAAATAAAAAATATTCTCTCATCCGCTCAGAATTGTTTTTTATCGAATGCAATCATTGCTTTCAAATCGAATACAGTAAAACTACACTATCCATTTATTATTTTTATTGAAATATGTAGTCGATGTTTGATCGCGTTGTCGTATCACTGTATTACTATCATGCGTATTTTAATTTTTTTAAATTGTATTTTGTTTAATTATATACATTGTATAATAAATGGAAAAGAGCAAAGTAATATTTATAATTTCTTTATAATTAAAAAAGATAATTATAACAATAGTAATAACTATGAAAAATCTTTAAAGCTCCCACAATCTTCGTCAAGTAATATTAGATAAAAAACATTCAAACTGAAGGAGAAAAAAAAAAAGCACAAAATATTAAGAAATTATAATTCAAACTATTTGAATTTTAGATTTTTTCAAGAACCCGATAATGATCTGCATCTACAGCCACTTTATGTTCTGTGTTCTGACTTATTATCCAATAATGCTATAAAACCTTCGAAGCTAGAAAGACATTTTCGATCAAAACACAAGGATTAAGCAAATAAACCAGTTAAATATTATGAAAGAATACCTAATAATATTGATTGCGAAAGCAAGTAATTATTATGAAAAAAATGACAATTGAAGATAAATCCTTGATAAAGGCTTCTTATATGGTAGCACTTCAGATCGAAATAAATAAAAAGCCTTATACCATAGGAGAAGACTTAAACCTTGCATGTTACAAGCCGGTGAAGTAGTATTGGGAAAGCAGGCTGTTAAGAAACTCAAAGTAATTTCTATGTTTACTAACACTATCAGAATCGAAGAAATGACTTATGATAATAAAAACATAATAAAACATAATAAAAACAAAAAAGTTATAATAATGGTGAAAATGTCATAATTTTACTTAATTCAACTTGACGAATCGACGGACTTAAGTAATGAAGCTTCTCCTTTGTTTTGTGAGGATTCAGTATGGAGGAGTACTACAGGAAGAACTTCTTTGTTTGTTCAACTTGCCAGATAGAATAACTACCTTTGAGATTTTTAAAGCACTTGATAGTTGTTTCCAAAAATATGGAATTGAGTGGAAAAGTATATTAGGATATATACAGACGGTGCTGTAAACATGGTTGGATATTTTTCAAGCAAAAGTGTCGCAAAAGTGAAAAATGTCAGTCACCCAGATATTTTGTCTACCCACTGCATATTACATCGTGAGCAACTTGCGTCAAAAAAAATATCCCCAGAACTACACGAAGTATAATCCAATGTTATTAAAATTTTTAATAATATTCAACACAAAGTACTTAATTCAAGGTTATTTGAGACACTTTATGAAGAAATAGGTTCCCAGTATCACATTTTCTTTTTCATGCAGTGGTAAGATACTGTTGAGAGGGAAGATTTTAACCCGACTGTTTGCTCTAGCGAAGAAGTAAAATTATTTTTCCAACAGCAAAATAATTTGAAATTTCAAGAACTCTCTTTAGATGACGAGTGGGTAGCCAACTTGCATATCTAGCAGATATTTTTTTGCTGTTAAATGAACTAAACATATCCATTCAAGGACAACTTAAAAACGTGTTTACAGTACGAGATAAAATAGCTGATTTTCACAAAAAAATATTACTTTGGCAAACGCGGTTGGCTGGAGAGAATCTACAAATGTTTCCAAATTTTAATGAATATATGAAAGAGGACATTAACCGGTGGGTGGTAGCTCTTGTTTAACAGTATTTACAATCACTTACAGAATATTTTTGTCATTATTTCCCAAAAAAGAAGATCCTAGACATGGTATTATGTGGCTAATAGATCCATTTGCAGCAAACAATGAATATAAAAAGTTGAATATGACCGAAAAAAGACTTCGATTTTTTTAACGGTATTTATGTAAAAAGCAATTTTAAGCTAAAAGTGGTCCGTAGAATTTAGTGTATGTATTTAGAGTGGTCCGTGAGGTTCAAAAGATTGGCAACCGCTGGTCCAGGCCAATGTTTCTCAACCTTTTTATTATGACGACACAATTAAAATATTTCATAAATTGCAACACACAATAAAAGAAAAAAGAATAATGGATATTAAATATTTATAATTAATTTATAATATAAAAAACAATGTAAAACAACAAAAAAATTATATAAGTAAAAGTAAATAAACGTTGATTAAGATCATTTTATATTTATTATTTTCAATATTGTTCAAAAGTATTTACATAAGTAGTTTAGTCATATGAAGTTGTTTAATTAATATAAGTTGTTAAAATATTATTATATATAATTTTAAAAGTTGATTAATTAATTTATGTATGTATATCATCTTACTCCAGAAAAATGTTAACTTACCCCAGCACATGGGTAAGAAGACGATTTTTTTTTTTTATTGTTTAAAAAATATTTGGTTTAAAAACAAATTTTGAAACTGATATTTTTTTTTACAACTTTTCCACGAGTTAAATTATAAATTGGTGTAGAATTTGGACTTGTATTATAAAAATTAGTCATTCGAGAATACTTCAAACCTTAGATTAGTCAACTTGCCCTGGTCTCCCTTACTTTTCATTACAGTTTTTATAATTTATTATTATTTACTAAAACAACGAATTATTAAATTGTTTAGTTTATTTTATACCAATATGACATACAGTGATATCATGACTGATACCTAATGAACTTATTTCTAAAGCGGCCCTCACACGATCGATATTACTGACACTTTTATTGATCGTGTAATGTGAGTACTGATGTACTGTCAGTAAGAAAAAATGATACTGATGAGTAGGGCTCGGAAGTTGATGATCTTAAAAACATTAAAAAATGACCTAAATAATTACAAATATTTGTTTTAAATTAATGAAAATACATTTTTTTTAAATATTTTTTCTATTTTACTTTAAAATTCTATATAAATTTATCAAAACTTCAAAATATGACATAAAAATGACAACAAATGTCCTTAAAATATGAAATAAAAAAATTACAAACATTTGTTTTATAAATTTATCAAAGCTTAAAAATTACTCAAAAATCAAAATCATTGCATTATGTAATTAGAGCGTATTTGATGTTATAAAAAGTAAATCAATGACGATTATCTGTTTATAAATATTTATAATTGAAAAAATTTCATTTCACTTCAGTGTACAATCACTTCGATTGGGAGACACAGGCAAGCACTAACCGACGTTTCAATTTTCGATATTTCAAAAATGTTACGAAAAAATAATAAAATTTAGTATAAGTATTATTCACTATAACATGACAACGAAGTGACGACTGTAATCGACGAGATAATATCGGATACTAATAGAATAGAATAGAAAAATCAGAATAATCTATGAAATTTAGATATGCCCACCACTATCTTTAATAGTCTTTTGATTGTGATTGCCACGTATTAATTGCTTAGGTTCACATGAAGGCTATTACTGAAAATACAAGTATAAAAATTATGAGAAACGAATGATATTTATTGCTAGGCTGTCCAGTTGCAGTCACGTATATGTGCTTTTCGCTAATAGCAATAATAAAACAATTATTTTCACACAAATGAATTGCACGTAAAACTAGTCTTATTCTCAAATTGTAAAATGTAAAAAAAAAAAAGTATAAAACACATGTTGATGGAACTATGCAAGCTCTTACATTTGGTCATTTAGCATCACAACAGTTCACACAGTCAGCTTTATCTCTGCGACGATGTCGATGATAAATTTCAACTTTGTTATAGGATATTCTTAATTCGATATCTGGTGAGATGGAATTTGTAATATTTATATGAATAACTAATAATAATGTTGATTCATTATACGAGATTCGTAGACTTCTTACCTAACATAACATATATAATTTTTAACTCCCTCCCCTTGTAGATTCTTGCGCTCTGTCCTCAATATATCAATTACTATCTATACCTTTCCAGTTGCAAGATTGTATAATACATCTGGAAAGACGATCGTGGTAATATTGTTAAAGATAATCTGTAATTATTTGACCAAGTTAACGACGAATTCGTGTGCATACCACGTGTTCCGTACAAATTTGGTGTTCGTAGTCTATCATCTAGGTCCAATCGCGTCGTTGGCTGCTAACAAACTTTACGGCCTTATCACCGAATACTATAGGTAAGTAAAGAGTATTAACTCGTATACATACTTGTTAAATATTTAAATATTAGTATTTAAAAATATTAAAAACAAGATTTTTAGTTTGGTTTTTCGATTTTGAAGAAATTACTTGTCGTCAACGAAGTAACGATTATAAATGTTGTTATTGACATATATTATTTAAAGATATTAGGGAGAATATAATATTTCTTGTGTATCGTATATTTATTTGGCTATTTATATTTTATACGAGTAGTATCGTAGCACGGCAATTTCCCGAATCCCAGTATCCCACATACTCACATACCTCAACATTCGTTATTCGTTAATAATCGTTAAAATTAATTTATTATGTTAGTCACTAGTTACTACTCACTAAAAATGTATGTAATTTTGTCGTAATGTTTTAAGAAATAAGAATCTAACAAAGCTTAAAAAAATGTATTTAAAAGTATTTGAAATATTTTTTGAATATATTTGTATTTTTATTTAAATATTTTCAGCATAGGTTAAATTAATATTTTAATACATTTTAATTGAAGTATTTAAATAGTTATTTGAAATACTTTTGAAAAGTATTTTTAACAACATTGCTCGTATATATGTACATACAGTGGCGCCGGACACGTATGGCAAGTGGGGTAAATACCCCGGAAATTGTTTAGTTAGTGAGTAGGTGGGTGACTTATTAAATGCTATGATATATTATTGTTATTATTAAAAATTAATTAAAAATTAAGTGTACTGTTATAAATACAAGTCATTTATATAAACACACTGTATAGTACTATACTGATGTACTTTGTAATTAATTATTTATCACTTCGAGTAAACATTGTTAAACACATTAGTGTATATTCCATTCGCATTTATATTCATTTTTTTTTTTTTTTTTATTTCTTAAGATGAATAGCCTAAAACACCTTCGCCCCACTAAATACATGTCCCCAGCTGATTACTTTCCTACTAGAAGTCAAAACCGGATTTTATGTTTTTTTCTAGTTAGGTTAACGGGTATAATTAAGGTTTGCTATTTAAATGTAAACAATGAAACTGTAGATAAAATAAAGTGAAATAAAAAAATAGAAAGTTATTTATTAATGGTACTTGACAAATGTTGTTTAGCAATTGAGAATAAAGAAAGCAGTGAAGGATATACACAAATTTAATAATAAAATAATAAAAATCAAAAACGATAACTATTATTAACAATGTAAACAAAAAAATTTGATTATTCATAATAATCTATTATAACATTCATGTATTACTGCCCATCGACATCATCGGCGAAAATTGATAAAATTTAAAACTACACATTTTAATGTCCAATTTCCGTTCCTCGTGATCGAGTCAACATTATAGAACATATTACTTACCTATATATTTATTTCAAATCAATACCCAATTGTACACGCTTAAAAATTTTAAAATTAACTTTAATTCATTTAAACACAGATTGAAACAGAGTTTAATTAATTAGTCTACGGGTTTTGGTTTTAGAGGAAAACCGGGTTCACATATTTGTCAGGTTTCAGATTTCGGGGTTTACACCCAATTTTGAATTTTTCCCGGATACCCCGGATTACAACCCATTAAGACCATGGTTCGAAAAAAAAAAATAATATTAAAATATTACTCACTGATATCATGATGCAGACGCGAAAATCACACACCGCCGTTTCATCATTTGACGAATGGCAGTGACAATGACTGCAGCAGATGTACGTTGCTGCGCCAAACCATCAGACAAGACTTGCATGAAGGCGTTAAAGTCTTGAGAAGTACGGCTGCACTAATCATGTCGAGTTACTTTAGCCACAAGTGAGATACAGCGCGTGTTCAATCTCTCCGTTATTATTGCGACATCGTTGACGGTTTCGTATAAGGTATTCGCACATTTAAATATTTTTCCGAGTATTGAACATTGTAGATATTGTGTTTATTACTGTACACACGTTTTGATTTTTTTTTTATACTATCTTCGACAAACACTCCCCGCTTACGGTAAACAATATAACATTAAAATATTAAAAAAAAAAAAAAAAATACAATGGACAAGGTCGGTGCAAGCATACTACTGATTAACATTGGAATTACAATGTCTTTCGAATCTTGTAACCACACGCGCGCACGTCTTTGCGTATTAATTAATTATTGGAAAACGACTACATAATAACAGCCAACAGGATTTATACACATTTTAATTATATTTTAATTATTTAGTTATAACGATTCAAATTGTATTTTTTTTAAATAGAAAGTGTTTATTTCTGGTTATTTTTTAAGAAACCTATAGCAATATAAGATGTCAAGACCGTTTTCAAAAATAAACTAAAATAATTTAACCATTTTGATTCCCTAGATTTAATCGATCAAAATCTTTTTGTCTATAACGCAGATTCATGATGACGTTGTGGTCCGCAGACGTTTTTAACACAAAGGAAACGTTTTTAAGAAATCGATGTTCTGTTAGAAATTTAAAAGTAAGTAACACAAACAACAGTCGATTTCCAAGGATTTGTAGATGAGGGGAGTGGATTATTTTTTTTATATTATATAATATTAAAAATATTTTTTCCTCTGTCCTTTTCAGCATTCCAACCCGTTAAAAGCAGCTTTTGACGAAGCAGTCATCACGTTTATGTTCTTGGCCATGCAGATAGGTCTACGAAACGTGTGTAGGTGCTTCCGGATATCGAAAAATCTTCTGACCTCTGCAGGGTTGATGTATATTAACATGGCAGGTTAGATTATACTCAAGTACGGCTTATTCGTACCAAAATAATAATGATGCGATAGTCGTGCACGTTATGATGAACTATTATAATCTGTAATGATTTCCGATTTTTTTTTTTTTGATGTTAAGCGTAGATCCTGTGAGCGCTTTTTCGGTAACCGATAAAATTTAACAGACAAAAATACAACCGAAAACGATCGTTCATACTATGTGTTCTAACGGTCTCTGAATACTGAACATACAAATAAATTTGATTAAACAGCACGCGAATCCTTTTTAATTTGAAATAAATAGTAAAATGTTGTATGATTTCAACGAAAAATTGTATGATGAAAATCTAATCGACTGACATAACTGTAAGTAATTCAGTCTAGATCAGACTTTTTTCTTATTTTTCAACAGCTGAAATGTTATCCCATACTTGATGGTATACAGCTTCGGCTACTTTCGTATTTATTCGAACCTATAAACCATATACATGGATAGTTCTGGACTTGTGCTATAAGTTTTTCTGTGGAATATTATTCGGTGATTAGGTGAATCGGTTAAATTTTGGTTTTGAATTTTCAACTTTGAAATAAAATATTAAAAAACATACAGAGAGTAGGTAACCGAAAACGCACAGTGAAGTCAATTCTGTACAAACTAATATAAATTTGGATACATAGGAAACGTGTCAGCGCCTCCAAACCGCAACTCAATGCATTTTATTTTCGATCGATATCGGATGGTTCTGTAAAGTGATAACTAGTCAGATGGCGATAACGCGTTTTATATATAATTTATATGTATTGTCAGAGATGGAACTAGGAATTTTTATGCCCGGATAAAATGTTAAAATTACGTCCTATCCATAGACTAATAAACAAATACTCAAATAAATTGTGTTCTTATAATCAATATACAATCGTACTTATTGAGTTTTAACCTAATATCAGTATTTAACGAAGTTAAAAATATCAAATTATTTGTTAATAATTACGAAAATTACACCCTCTAAAATGTTACGCCCGGGGATAAATCCCCGACTTCCCCCCCCCCTAGATCCGGCCCTGTGTAATGTCATATGCTGCGTTTAAATCGCCGTTCGGTTACATTTTACCAGTTGCTGAAAAAACACTGATCTGATTGCGTACTTATAACATAAAATGTTATACGTTAATAATATATGTATATATTATAATATAATGTTATATTACATCAATATAGCATTTCGTTACACTGGTGTCCTGATGAATCCTACGTACGCAACGGCTGTGGTATACGGATGCCAAGAAAAAATCGACAGATATCACTTCATCGTGTTTTGGATAGGCCCCATTGTCGGCGCTCTTGTCTTTAAGGACATAATTTGGATAATACGAGCTCTGTTTATACGGAGCGCATATTTCCAGCATAGAGATTAGCTTCGAATACGTGTATAATATAATAATATACTGGTGTACATATGTATACAGTAACGACAGACAGCACCCTTCGAAATATTGATTACCGCCCGCCCGCCCGTGATTGTTGCTAACACGAATTGTTTGTTTTGTATATTGAGTATACTAACACTATGCTACGATCTACGACGAACATTAAAAATTGTATTATAAAATAATGAATATAGTTTTTATCCATAACTGTGTATTCTAAACTATTATTTTTTATTATTTTTATTTTTTTAACAAAAATATAACTATTGTTGGTTTTTAATCGGTCATTATTGAATAAAAATGAACGAAAATCCTATTAAATCGACTGCAGTCAAAATTACGGAGTTAGCGGACATTTTTGAAAAAACATTACTCGAGTTATCTATACTAGATTCGTTGTATGGTGGCAGTAACATTAGTGATTATGTTCAAAAAGTTTTCCGTGCATCGGTTGAAGAGTTACATCATTTTGGAACATTAAAAACACTGTGTGCATTGATAGATGACACAGCTGAATACCAACAACAGAAAAATAAACAAAAAGAAGACCAACAATGCCGATTGAAAAATAATGAACCGATATTGTGCCAGAGATTAGTATCAAATGACAAATTGTTTGTGCTAGATTATATATCGTCGGGGGAAAAATTACAATTATTAAAGGAAGAAGAAGAAGAGATCGATTCGATTATCGAGAAGTGTACTGTAAGTTTGTTTAACTGAACTTAATCGTATTAAATTATCTAACAAATATGTGTATTTACAAATGCGTAGGAAAATGGAGAACGTGTAGTAATGCGAAGAGAAACAGAAAAAAAATATGTAGGCAAGTGGGAAAAGGCTAGAGTTGAACATTTTAAATTGACATTTAAAGCTAAAGAACTCGAGTTGCAGAAAGAAATATTAGGTTTGCAAACCCGATTAGAAAATGAACAAGTAATAGACAAAGAGAATGAAACATTTTTAAACTACAGTATAAACGTAAGCAAGTATTTTTAGATGCATACAAATATCCACTTGTTTCAAAGATACAAACAATTAAACTGATTTATGTAATATTTTATTTACCGAGGAACTAAAAAAACAAATAGAATATTGGGAATGTAAATACAAAACAGATGTTATGGAAATCGATAATAAACTAGACAATCGTATGATGACTTTGAAAGAAAAAACTAAAGAAGTCGAAATTATGAAAGAAACAGTAAGAAGTTTTTTTTTTTGTACTATACTTCTCGTGTAATTTGTTAAATGAACATAAGGTTTATTAATTATAAGGTTGTCTCATAACCATGTAAACAATGAAAATCCCCTACAGCCAGTACTCTAATTGGGGGGGGGGGGGCCGGGGGGGGGCGGGGCCCCCCCCCCCAATTTTTTTTTTTTTTTTACGTACCCCAACTATATTTTTTCACCGGAACGGGAGGACGCCACGTTCATCCTAATTCATGTCCAAAATAATTTTTACGTCAATTTGAAAACGAATTTTACGATTTATAATATCAAAACTATTTTTATAATTAAAGATTATATGGTGGTTGTGATAAAGGACAACGTCGTCATTTCTGAAAAAATATAAATAACAATATCTGTGAATTTGGTAAATTATACTTTATACATTGTACGGTTTGTTATTAATATTGGCGATCGATGATATCGTCATTTCGGAAAAAAATAAATGCCCGCATCACGACCTTAGACTAATCTTTTAAGGCCGTGGCCCGCACTAAAGAGTAAAAATAGATAAAAATAAAAACCAAATATATGATTATATCATTCGATTCATGAGACTGACTGATCCCCTTCAATTATGTTAATTATTATTTTATTCTTATTTTCTATTGTAACATGTAAAATGTTGGTATTGCTATCAAAATATATTATATTTGGAATTTAAATATTTGTTTAGCTGAAAAGTGGTATTCAAAATATATGTAAGGTTGGCAGAGGGGAGGGACGAAGCCCCCACGGGTCTATGTTTAATAATTGCGCACGTGAGACGCAGTTTTCAAATCGTTGGGTTAAACTCCTCTACTTAATTTTTCCCAATTAGAGAACTGCCTACAGCGTCATATTAATCGTGACGTCACCCGTAGGAAATATTTCATGGTATGGTGTCGGCGTCGTATCCAATACATATGTAAAATTACTGTAAATGCTCGTTAATTAAAAATGTTAACTGTTGTTTTATAAAAGTTAAATTTGTTAAATTAATTCGCTCTTTATATTTATTTATTTATTATAACTATATAATTAGTAATATAATATATTTACCTCGAGGTGAACCGCCTCTATATCTCTATCAACACAAACGGTTCCCAAGCTCTGCTCCATGGAGCCCTTAAAGCTCCGCAATTGTTTCTCGAGGGCTCCGTTCGTTTTACCATAAAAAATTTAATAATATTGATCGTTATTTAAAATAACAATCATATATATTTTTACAAGACTCCGTCAACTCAAATATAATTCATCGATATGTATATGTCGCATCCATATCGCGTTATTGTACGTTTCGCGAAATGGACAACGTTTGCATCCATTTCACGAAATGAAACCGCGATTTTTCCACTTCACAAAATTACACAATATGGGTAATATTTTGGGAAATGGATACCTAAACCATCATCGACGGAACTTGTTCCGTCATTTGAATGTCCGTATAGCAAAAATTTAAAAAAACTTTAATTTCTATATATTATAATATATTACAATTATTTTTAAGAAATGTTTTACAAATAGATACTTTAATACAAACTATTATGTTTACCAGTGGCGCAACTAAGGGTGGGATTTGAAGGTTGTAACCCACCCCCTCCTCGAAATTTTTCTGAAATTTTTACAAATTCTACGTAGGAAAAAGAATGGTTTATCTTCAACATCCAAAATTTCGGTATGACATATGAATATTATTCGTAATATAATAGATAACAATAATAACATGATGATATGGAACGTTTTGTAATTTTCTGATCAACTTTAAAACATTTTCGATCTCATTTGCTTCAAGTCTTCCAACCCCATAACATTGTCAATAATATATTTGAAGATCATATTGTGAACTCTCTTACTACCCCATTTCCACTTTATCTAGCACCGAAACCTATTTCGCCGGGTGAAATTCATTACTACTTAAAACTATTCCGCCCCAAAAAATCTCCCGGTTTGGATTTAATTACGTCAGAAGTAGCTCTGCAGCTACCCAAAAAAGCAATTATACACCTCACGCATATATTAAACGCAATCATAAGACTATCCCATTTTCCTCTTCAATGGAAAACCGCTGTTATCATCCTAATTCTAAAACCAGGTAAACCTCCTGATACTCCGTGTTCATATCGACCGATAAGTCTCCTACCTCTCTTCGGTAAACTTTGTGAAAAGTTAGTATTAAAACGGATTTCTCCTTTTATAAATAACGTATCAGTTATACCACAAACTCAATTTGGTTTTCGTGAACGACACTCAACCATTCACCAAATACACAGACTGACTGACTGCATATCTAGTTCCTTAGAAAAAAAAGAATATTGAACAGCAGTCTTCCTTGATATAGCCCAGGCATTCGACAAAGTGTGGCATCCTGGTCTGTTGTATAAATTAAAAAAAATTTTACCTCTACCTTACTACCTATTTTACAAATCTTATCTTGAAGACCGTTATTTTGTGACCAAAATTGGATCAGAAATGTCATCCTTAGCCCGAATATCTGCAGGGGTCCCACAAGGAGCCGTTTTATCTCCTACCCTTTACAACCTGTACTCAGCTGATCAACCGACAACCCCTTACACCTCAGTTGCAGATTTTGCCGATGACAAAATTATTTATTCCTCACACAAAGATCCAATAATTGCTGGCATGAATCTACAAAACCACCTAGACCTCATGTCTTTCTTAGTACGACAAGTGGAAAATAAAAATAAATCACGAAAAATCTACCCATCTAACTTTTACATTAAAACATGGTACTGTACCACCTATACATTTAAACAACCAAAATATTCCAAAATCCTCGAGCTCTCGTTATTTGGGCTTATTTCTAGATCAACGATTAACTTGGGCAGACCACATAAAAAAGAAAAAAATCCTCTTAAACTCTAGACGAAAATCGCTACAATTCTTACTCGGTAAACATTCTAAACTTAATAATATAAAAACAAAATTACTCCTATATAAAACTTTATTAATGCCCATTTGGACATACGGGATCCAATTATGGGGCGCAGCCAAAAAATCAAACACAAACAAAATTCAAATTTTCCAATCCACAACACTCCGTTTAATCACAAATGCCCCATTTTACGTTTCTAATCACACCTCCATACAGACTTAAAAATGAATACGATAGAAGAAACTGCCAAAATCTTTTATAAACGTTTCCGCTCCCGACTGTCAAACCACTCCAATCCACTCATCTCTGCTCTAGATTCCGACACCATTCCTGGTAACCCTCTTCGTCGACTGAAAATAAAATGGTGTAGAGACTTAAATATCAATTAGCTAAATATATAAAGGTAAATTTAAATCCAACTTAATCATGTCATAAAGTGCCGCCATTGGGTGGCTGCTTTTATCATGTTATTCAAGCTTTAATACATATTACCGCATGTGTATTTATTGTAATAATTTTTACAGATTGTACGCCTTAAAATATAAAAATATAAAAAAAAAAAAAAAACTTTAAAACATCAATAACCTTGCTACTACGATTTCTCAATAGTATAATACTTTTTTTTGTGATATCACAATATGAAATAGAAGTTAAACAGTAACTTAATTTGTAATTTAAATTTTTTTCTCATAAACCTAACTTAATCTTATTTCCTTATCCCCACCAAACATCTGCAGAAAATATTTATTTTTTCCCCTATTCACAAACCCTCCTGAAAACCAATCCTGATTGCGCTATTGATGTTTACCGTTATCGACGGAACTTGCTTTGTCATTTGGATGTCCATATAGCAAAAATAAAAAAAAAAACTTTAATTTCTATGTACTCGTATGATATTTATTTCTAAAAATTAAATTAAATTATTAATTTTAAGTAAATTTTTTATAAATATTATTTTGTATGGAAGCGGACTCCTAAGAAGTAATTTTATGTAATTTATGTGAGGAGAATATAAAAATTAAAGAAGCACGTCATTTAGGAACTATAGAAATAGAAAAGTAAGCCGAAAAAATGTTACTAGTAAAATAATTTTTATTTTCATATTTACTTAAAATAATTCATTATTTCATTATGCTATAGGATAGTAAGATCAAAATACCAACATTTAAAGTTGGAGATTATGTTGTAATCCCGGTTCCAATGGTGGATAGAAGTCCTGTAGATCCAGCTAATGTTATTGGTGTAATGACCGACCAGAAAAATAAACTTAACCATTTAGGAACTGAACATGGCATACTAAAAGGTTGATATGGTTCTGAAAATATACAAACTTCCACATCAAATTTCATTGACATCGAGCAACAAGTGAATAAGACAAAATAAATGTCATTAAAAGAAATTGTATCTTTTTTAACTGGAGGTCAAGGTATTTTTAGCTGTTATTGTAAAGGCAAATGTCAAACTAAAAAATGTGATTGTTTTAAAAGTAATTTAAATTGTAGTTCTCGTTGCCATAACACAAGCTTGTCTAAATAAATAATAGTTTATATTAAAGTATTATAATATAATATTTGTAAAACATTTTCTTAAAAATAATTGTAATATATTATAATATATAGAAATTAAAGTTTTTTTTTTTAATTTTTGCTATATGGATATCCAAATGACGGAACAAGTTCTATCGATGAAGGTTTAGGTATCCATTTCTCGAAATATTATCCATATTGTGTAATTACGTGAAATGGAGAAATCGCGGTTCCATTTTGCGAAATGGATGCAAACGTTGTCCATTTCACGAAACGTACATTAACGCGATATGGATGCGATATATATACAGGAGTGAAAATAGGAATTTTTATACCCGGGAATAATTATAAAATGACACTCTATCATAGACCAAGAATCAAAAACTAAAATTTTTCTCTAATAATTAGATTACAATCATACTTATTGAGTCTTAAATATATTACCAATAACAAAATTAAAAATATCAGACTAGAAGGCAATAATAGATTATATACCAAAAAATTACACACCCTAAAATGTTACGTTTGGAGATGAATTCCCGTTTTCCTTCCTAATTTTCCCTAATTTACCGTCTGTATATACAAACAATATTAAAATCCCGATAAGAAAATATTTTTTAGTTTTAAATAATATGAATTTCCTTTCAGTTATTATCCGGTTAGGTATATTGTATATAATACATATTAATATATATATTGTCATTAAATAACGTTAATTATTTCTTCACTCATTTTTTTATCTTTAAAGTATGGAAACTCATCACAACTTAATCCTAGAATGGAATCTTATTGAAATATAATTTTTATCATACAAAATACTTAAAATATACAATTTATTATTATTTATTTATCTACAATTATTTTATAATATCAATTAGTTATCTTGAACATTGCAGTGTACTGATGGTAAAAACCTTATTTTTATTTAAACCTACATGAAAGTATAATACTAATTCAAGTCTATTCAAATTACTTAATTTAATATTTTTTTATTTATCTTATAGAGTTATTCGATATTTTACTAATTTTTAAAAAGAATAAATTAAGAATAATTACAACAAGTATCGTAGCTGATGAGGTCGATAACCAGGGACTGACTAGCAGGACATCCTTCTAAACCCTTCTAAAAATGTTATGTTTGGGCCGCTATATTTGCTAATACATATAACACGAGTCGCTTGTTTGCTAGTTTGTAAGACTTCTGTCCGCCCGGGTCATCGGAACCTCAGTCCACCCCTGCTGTTAATAATTAAAAAACAAATTAAATTAGACATTAAATTAATAGAATATATTTAATACTAAATTCTAGTATAATGAAAGGCAAAATATAATTGAAGAACACACAAAAAATAAAAAAATATTAGAAGAAGAGAAAAAAATTAACGACTACAGGGAGAAAACAGCTATAAAAATTCAAGCATGGTGGAGAGGCACCATGGTCAGACGTCGCTTAGGTCACTATAAAAATCTATTGGGACCAAGGAAGAAAAGTATTAAAAAACCGTTTGTTAATAAAGGAAAAAAATCTAAAAGTAAATAATAAATTAGGGTAAAATAGAAAAAAATTTAGTAAAATAATTAATTAGTTAAGAAAATTAGTAAATTAAGTTATTTTAATCACCGAAATACACATGCTTAGTTAAATAAATTTCACATTTTTAGAAATGTCCATAAAACTATGTATATATTTAATTTTATATTAAACTCATTTTATACTAAGCTTTAGTTTAATCAGAAAAATAATTTTTATTCAGTGGTCCTGTAACAATAATATCTGAACAACATATGATATTTTTTTTTTATTTTTTTAATCATCAAATTATTTAATTTTCGTTATCAATAGATCAAAACAATAATGTTGTTTAGAAATTAAAGAAACTATGTTTAAAAAACATACTAAATTTAAACTAGAAATAGTAGCTTTTATAATAAATAAAATATATACTGTCTGTCTGTTTACTATACGTCTTGACATAACTCACAATATTATTATATTATATATTATTAATATATTATATTTGATGATGTTTTCTTCAAATATAATACTAATGTTAGGCCAAATAAATGTTTATTATGTTTTATTCTTTTATTATATATACAATTCAAATGAGTTAATAACAATGTTTAAATATGCATTATGCTATTATGATTTTATTTTGTATCAAATACAAATCCATAGGAATTCGATTACCACAACTTTCAATATTATTTCACTTAGTAAACAAACTTTAAAATAATCGTTTCAACGAATCTACGGATGTCTATTAAATATGTACCTACCTATATAGAAATTCGAAATCTAATTTGTATGGCCTACACAAATTTCGATAATTTTTAAATGCTATTTTGACTCCGTATATATATATTCCAATAAATTAACTGGTAAAATATATTGAACCGCAATCATTTGTACTTAAATAAACTTTCTGTAAATCCAATTTTTACAAATTATTATTTTATTTTGTACCTATATTTGAATATGGATTAAAAATTATAAATATATAAGCATGTCCGCATGTAAAAAACAGTATTTTTCCATTCCTGATTATTATATTACACCCACTCTGAGTAACTCATAACACATACTTCTCAATAGGATCGAACAACAAATATAATATAATCGACTATAATAATATAGTAATATATATATATATATGTCATATTCATATCGCGTTATTGTCCGTTTCACGAAATGGACAACGTTTATATCCATTTCGTGAAATGGAATTGCGATTCCTGCACTTCATTTAATTACGTGATGTGGATAACATTTCATGAAACGGATACCCAACTATAGATAGCAAAACTTATTCCGTCATATAGATGTCCAAATAACGAAACAATAAAATTTACTTTTTGAAAGAAATTCCTTGTTCGCGATCTATTTAATTTATTTAACATTTTTTTTTTTTTTTGAATATACTTCAGTTATATTCCTAATAGTTTAATACATACATTATTTAATGAACTATGTATTATTAAAAAAAAATTTTAAAAACTAAAGACTAAAATAAATAATAAAATATATTATTATTATTTGTTTGAAAAAATTATAAAACTACTGCGGCAGTGAAAATTGCATTACAAATTAACCTTAAAACAACTACATTTTTTAGTTTAACATTTACCTTTAAAATAACAACTTATAAAGCCTTGACCTCCAATTAAACAAGATACAATTTCTCTTACCGACATTTTTTTTCGTCTTAATTACTTGATCGATATTAAAAAAATTAATTCTAACAATTAAGATTCTAAACATTATTAATTCAATTTAAGATTCATTGAAAATTAGTTATTAAAAAATGTTAGTAATTAAATGATAAAACTACATACTTCTTAGATTTAGATTGTAATATTTCAAAAACATGCCATTAATTTAGTCGTTGGTGTGAGGTTTTTACCTGTTTTTTTTTTTGTATAATGCAAATCAAGTTTTTTATAAAATTAATTTTTTTCGTCAAATGACATAGTATCTTTAAAATTGAAAAGCAGTGAAACTAAATTAAATTAATGCAAAAAAGTTTGCTCAATATTGTACGTTCGACTAAGTCAAACTGATCCCGAAAATTGAAATGTTATGAAAATTAAATTGTTATGTAAAGGTGAATATAATCAATGCTAGGATTATTATGATTTTACTGAAAATATATAATATTGCATCGTTTACTCATTTATCATAATACAGAAAAATTGTTTTGCTATTTGGATAACCATATGACGGAATAAGTTTCGTCGTCTATAGTTTAGGTATCCGTTCCGTGGAATGTTATCCACATCGTGTAATTACGAGAAGTAGAATGGATATAAACGATGTCCACTTCGTAAAACGGACAATTACACAAAATGAATGCGACATATGAATACTAGTACATACAATATATACTTATTATACCTAAATAAGGTAACCTTATTCAGCGGCGGATTGGCCCACCGGGATACCGAGAAAGTTCCCGGTGAGCCGGCAGTCATAATAACACTGGGTCGATGTAGGTTTATTTGGATTAAAAATTATTTTATAAAAATAATGTATTTAAGAGTATTATATTTAATTGTAAAATTTTGATAAAAACCTAGTGTAAACGTGATGTAAACAATTCAATGAGCATTTAATTCATGAATAAAAGAGACTTTTATGGAAAATTATTATTATTGAATAGTGGGCCAGTCGTACGGTAATTTTCCGGGCCAAAATTTTTAGCCAATCCGCTGGTAACCTTACACATTAAACCTAGATAGGTATCCCATAATCTACATATGTAATAAAGTACAACTAAAATAGTAAAATTACGATTTTAACGACAAACGGAATCAACATTGGATATCAATTTTTAATACAAATATTCAAGATTGGAATTGACATATAATAAAAAAAAAAAAACAGAAAAATGTAAGTACCTACATATTATATTATGTAACAGACGTCAATTTCGGTATAATAAATATTGACAAAACAATATCAGAAATCTACGTGAATAAATATAAATCATAAACAGCATTATAGGTAATACAAAAAATTATTAATTTTTAACTGTATAGATTTTAAATGTCAGTAGGCAAGTTCATATATGGATCTCAATAAAATTATGTTATAATTAGTATACGTGGTATTAAATTAACAATAGTTTTGAAACAATAATTCTCAGTAAGAGCAATGGACCCTCTGTCTCCCTGCAAGCGCGCATGTCAATAAGTATATCTCTGAAAAAAATATTAGTCATAACAATATAGTATTTTACATTTATACATGAGAACCACTGTTGCATGAAATTCTGATCAACTGGTATAATTAATACTTATACAATTCTAGGAAACAATTATCTATATGCATACTTACGTAAATTTATGGAAATAATATATAGCTTATAAGTTATAAAAAACTACGTTATATGTTATAACATAGGTGACCGATGCGTATTACTCATTATTGATAATTGTAACTGATAGGACACTGTAACTAACTAAAATGTTTCCAGACACTAGTTTATTTATTACCTATTAATTTTTAATATTTTATACACGCATGGAGGTATACTCGTATTATTATTAGATTATCGGAATACAATAATTATAATTTTTAGTTTGTCGTTTATAACACCAATAGAAGTACAAAAATGATGACGCATTGTCTTTGTCACAATAATACAATCAGTATTTGATAGCAAACTACAACTGCAGTCGGTAGTATTGCTGCGATTCAAGGGTTCCAAACATACAATTGAAAATAAATTTAATTAATAATATTGAGCATAATGAGCAACGAACAAACTTTACAGTGATAAATTCTATAGCAGCTTAGGAATACAAATTGTCACGATATTAACAAAAATATACTACCATTAAAAAATAATATAACATTCTATGTGTATAATTCTATATCATTAAAAAAAAAATTAATATAGTTCTTTAAATTGTATTGATTATAGAAATCCAATATAATACTAAGAATAATATCCAATAAAAATGATAATTTCGAAAGAATATACATGTAAGGATTAAAATTTATTTTTGTTTTATAAGTTACCTATTAGCTACATATGGTAAAAATGAAAATATTATTTACTTCAACTTTTTTGCCCAGCGTACTATCATTGTTGTACCTTATGAAAATATTTCTGTTACGTTAAGCGTCGTTCCTTCATTGCGGACAGTTGTCATACGTAAATACGTCAATCCATTTTGTTTCATAAAAGATATAAGCAAGAATTTACACTTCATAAAATGTAATATTAAATATAATTACTTATTTAGAAATTATGTGTTAAATACATGCGTAGTAAATATAGGTAAATAGAAGATTATACTTAAAAAAAATATATATTTATTTCATGCTCCAAGAATAAGTATTATAGCTAGTTCAGTGGCGTAACCAGGATTTTAAAATGGGGGGTAGGTCAAATCCAAAATACTAAAAAATTATAATCAACAATTAGGTACCAATAATAGTTTATTCATTTAGTAATTTTTATATTAAATTTATTGTATTTAATATATTTTATTTTATTAAAATTAAATTTCAATTTATTAGCATAATTATTTTGACTAATCTAACAATAAGAGACGTCAATGAGATTTTGAAGAAAAAACTTGGATTAATTCTTCTTTTGTGATTTTTTCGGATTTGTTTATCTTTCCCATAGCCAACCCACTAAGTCTCCCTTCATTCATAGTTGATAGCAAATAATTCTTCAATAATTTAAGAGCTAAAAATGTGCGTCCCAGTGTTGCTGATGTAACTGGTAAAGTTGCAAATAATTGAAGTAATAACTTTACATTAGGTAATACATCTATACAATAACGTTAAGTTTCTATAGCTGACTCTGGTTTTTCTGCTGTACTGTCTTACCATTGGTTTCGTCACATAGTTAATTCTGCTTTGAGGTTTATTAAAGTATTGTCATGAAGATCATTTTCATACTTATATGTAAGCATCATTTATATATATAAACAGCACTTAATATGGAGACATTATTGTATATACTAAAATTGACAGGAATTAACTCTTCAAGTACTATGACTTATTATATATATGACTTATTTTAAC